TCAGTCAAGGGAAAGTCTTTTTGATGTTTCAGCAGAAAGGTTAGCATGTTTGGGGAATAATCCAAAGCCCAGCCATTTCCAAAAAGTTGTTCCTAAAGTTTCTTTATGGCTTCTAGTGCTTAGTACCTTTGGGGAGGGAGGAAACCTGGCCCATCCATCATTGTGTAATTCTCATGGGAGGATTTTCTATTTCCACTCTTCCTCCTCAAGTCTTTTGTACCCCAAGGCCCAGTTCAACCCCCTGAATGTTTTGTTTTTGGTTTTTTTTGGCATCATGGCTTGTGAGATCTTAGTTCCCCGAACAGGGATCAAACCTCGGCCCACAGCAGTGAAAGTGCTGAGTCCTAACCACTGGACCACCAGGGAGTTCCCAACCCCCTCAGTTGTTTAATATGCTGAGCTAGTGACATTCCCTAATGAGGCTGTCTCCGATCCCCCCACCATTCACCCCAACAAAACTCTACATATATACATAACCCTAAGAGCTATGCAGATCAATTCCCTGACCCTCCAAAACATAAAAATAATAAGATGAAGGAAAGAGTGTGAAGCCATAGTACAAGTATACCAGATCCCAAATGTCCTAACCCTGTAGGCCTGACTTCTCAAATTATGCAAGTTGTCTTGGAGAGCTTTTCACCTATTATAGTTAAAACAAGACCAAAGGGAGAAAGCTGAGAGATGAAGAGGGAAAGACAGAAGACTAGTACACCCAGGGACACAGTACAACAGTACACGACGTTCTTTTCACAAATATTTACTGTGTGCCTAACATGTGCCAGACACTGGGCTATCTTCATAGCCAAGGCCAGGGGAACTTTGGTAAGCCAGAGTGGGGTAAAAGATCACAGAGCTGAACTCAATTCCACAGCGATACCCGGAAAAGGTAAAGCTTTGCTCTCTCCCACCATGCTGGATGTAGCACAAGAGATCAGAGGACTATATAAAGATCTGTAAGGAAGGGTACTGATATACTCTTTTCACTGAAGTCTTCACCCACCTTCCTCTACTCCTGGTGAGTTGTCAAAGGACCTCTCCTGAACCTATGAAACTGATACAGTCAAGTCCAGCCTTCCCGTTCACCTACTTCCTCTTCATTGGCTCACACAATGTCAGAACTGGAAGAGTTTCAATCACCTAGACCCATCTCCCAAGAGGTGTTTTATCCAAGGTCACAAAGCTGCTTAGTGTTAGCTGGGATGAGAAGTGGCCTGGTTCTCTTTGGAGTGTGTGGGACAGCTCAGCCTGGGAGGAGGGTCCAGGGTCCTTGAAAACCTCACAGAAATGGCTGATGATGGGGAGCTGGCTGAAGACAGAAATACTCATTGACTTTGCTTAGTGGTGCCCGATAAACAAGCTTAGCAGGTGACTGAGAAGGCAAGGAAAGAGAATCAAACTTAGGATCCAGGGACTCAGAGGACACTGTACTGCCTCAGGCCACTCTGAGGAATGAAGATCAGGCCCAGGTAGACAGCCATTCTTCACTGGCGCTTATGTCTGGCTTGAAAAGGTGACTGGGGGAAAGGGGCAGATTTTTATCCAGGCAACCGCCCTGGGTGTGGATACTGAGTAGTAAGGAAAGAAATGCAGTTCAGAAGCAAAAAGGGAGGAGACACACACTCTGAGCTTTTCTGAGAAACCAAGGCGGCTAGCAAGCAAGCAGTACAGCTAGAGAGATGGGGTCCATGGATGACTTGGGAAGGAGGAAGCTGATCAAAGGGGAAAGGCACAAGGGAAAGGATGAGGACTTCAGTTACTCCTTTGAAGACAAACAAGAGGTGGCTTTATGAGAGTAAGTTAATTCAGGTCATGGGAGTGAGACTGGGCAAAGTTATTAGTAGAGGGAGGCGGAGTCTTGCAATCAGAGTCAAGAGCCAGCTGGATCAGTGGGGGTGGTGGATGTCAAAAGACAGGGAAGGCCCCTCCCAGGGCAGAGGGGCTGGAATGCAATCAGTGCCCCACACAAAGGACTCTGGTCCTCGGTCACAGCCAATCCAAGCTCACACGTAAAAGCAAGCCTGCAGATCAAGTCTTTAAAACTCAAGATATCAGCTACCTGCGCTAGTGACTGATGCTCTCTCAGAAGAGTACGTAGGGCCTGGACCAGTGGCCTCTTACTGGCTGGACTGCCTCCATCCAGGGCTCAGCTCCATGCCCACAACCAGATTTCTTACCAAGGGACCGGGGCCCATTGGGAGAGTCTATACTGGGCAGTGCTGGGGACACTCTAGGACTCTCGAGGAACCACATTCCAGCCAGTGCCTCTCCTCCCACTTCCAGGCTGGGGGCTGGGACAGTACATACCCCTGTTCCCGAGCCCCCAGCCCCCAGCCCACTTGAGTCCCTGTTCCCATCACAGACACCTCACACAGCAGTGCTAGAGTTCACCAGTCATCTCTCTGAAGAGTTTACTCTGTGATAAGTCTGAACCATTCACTAAACACAATTAATTCCTTATAACTTACAACACACACCAACATAAATGCAAGTGTTAAATGTAAAAAATAATGTCAAAAAGAGCCATAATAAAATACAGGCAAACATTTTTCCGCTCCAAGGGTGGTGAAAGAGGTTTCTACCCATAAAGGCAAACAAAGAAAATATAAAGGAACAGTTTTGGCAGATGTGATTATATAAGCCCTCTAAAAGCTCCTTGACTGTAAAAACAAAATAATTATCACCCACCATAAACAAGAACAAAAGGTAAATGACAAAATGGAGGGAAATATTGTTGGCAAGATGTGCCCTTGCAATTTCAATAACAAAAAGAATACTTGGATAGAAAAGTGAACGTAGAACATAATTTAAAATTCACAAAACAATAAATATATGAAGTAACATAATATATATATGAAAATGTTTGGCCTTGCAATACCATGATAAAATTAAAACAGTGAAAATATTCTTTATCAGTTGATAAAGGACTTTTTAAAACTGGCCTTCTAGTGCTATCAAATGTGTGGTAAAAACAGACACTTGTGGAAATGTAAAGTAGCACAACTTTTTCAGTGAACAAATTGGCAATATATATGGAAAGCCTTTAAAAGAGCATTATCCCTTCTGCTTCAGTAATCCTTACATAAATTTATCCTAAAGCAATAAGAAAACACATAAACACTTCTGTACAAACATATTCACTAAGCATTATTTACAGAAGTGAAAACCAGAAAACCTGAATTTCCAACAAGGAACAACTGGTTTCGTGAAGTGATGCTCACAATACGGCACGTGAAGAAAACCGGGTTGTTAATAAACGAAAATGTTAACAGTGGTTGTTTTTGGGCAGTGCAATTACCGGTAATTTTTATTTTCACAAGTTTTCCCACACATGGATTAATTTTATAATCAGAAAAAGGTTATCACAATATATTGCTAAATGAAAACGTTTATAAAATAGTAACACAGAACGTGACTCCACATTTGCTGTTTAAAAATATATATGCCTATAAAAATACTAAGATAACAAAATGTAAAATAACTCCATTTGAGTAGTGGAATTATAAACTTTTATTATTTTCTAAAGTTCTTACAATGAAAACATTACTTTCGTAAAATGAAATTATGTTAAAGGGGAAAAGTTCTCCCGTGCTTCCTCAGGAAGGGCCTCATACCTAGTTTTTCTTTCTGTTTCTTCACCCCCTCCCCCTAACGCATCTAAACCTGCTCTTTGTGCTGCTTAGCCCTGAAACCTCCCAAAGACAGTTCAGGCTTCCCTCACAGTCCAGGTGAGAGGTGTGGAACAGCACTAAGGCACTGGCACCAGGGCTGGAGAGGCTGGGCTGGATTCCGGGGCTCTTTCGAAGGTGGTGAGGAGAGGGAGACGCGGAGATTTCTAACGTGGACGGCTGGGTGCGTGGTGGCCGAGAACACAGGAGAGAAGCAGGGGCAGACAAGCTGAGTTTGCACAGCCACAGACCCGGGGAAGGTGTCCACTGGGTGGCTAGCTACGTGGGTGTTGGAAGTTGAGGAAAGGCCTAGACTTGGGCGTGATGAATGTAAGAGTGAGCAGGACTGAAGTCACGGAGTGGACACGGTCAGCCACAAGTGAGAGAAAAAAGCGAGGCCCATGGATAGAATCTTTGGGATTCTCCCTTTAAGAGGTGAGGAGAACTCTTAAAATGGGAGGGTAGGCAGCAACCAGACTTCAGTAGCTGAAATAAAGAGTGAGGAAAGTGGAGGCAGCAAACATGTAGACACTTCTACCACTTGGTGGTAGAAGAGGCCACAAACTGGTGGTCTACCAGGTCTCTATAAAATACTGAATTCGCTGTTAGGGTTTACATATTTCTCCTAAATCTGGATTTCTGGATTTCCTCAAGAAAGAAGAGGAAGACCCAACAACCCTGGGCAGCCATTTCTGCATGGCAATAACAACCGGAATTGAAAAAAAGCTACTTCATAGCAGGAGTACTCCATTAGTGGGAGCTCCAGCCCTTCTCGCCTGGCCCCTGGTATAGAAGATGAGGAAATACTTCCCTTTGTGAATGAAAGTCCTCATTAGTGCTCATCTAGACTTCGCTGAAATAGAGGCCAGCGTTTGACCCATAAGCCCCACATTTGGCCCCCGAAGGCAGATCCTGGGACAAACATACGTGAATTAGGGATCCTGACCAGACTGCGAATGCCCATTTCCCAGCAAGAGACACCGTATCAAAAGCCTCTGGAGGGCTTCCCTGGTGGCACAGTGGTTAAGAATCCGCCTGCCAATGCAGGGGACACGGGTTCGAGCCCTGGTCTGGGAAGATCCCACATGCTGCAGAGCAACTAAGCCCGTGCACCACAACTACTGAGCCTGCGCTCTAGAGCCTCTGAGCCACAACTACTGAAGCCCGCATACCTAGAGCCTGTGCTCCGCAACAAGAGAAGCCACCACAAGGAGAAGCCTGCGCACCTCAACGAAGAGTAGCCCCCGCTCTCCACAACTAGAGAAAGACCGCGAGCAGCAACGAAGACCCAACTCAGCCAAAAATATATAAATAAAATAAATTTTTTAAAAAAACAAAAAAGCAAAAGAGAACAAAACCCAAGAGCGCCTGGAATTACAAACGTAGGGGAGCAAGCCCGCTCTCACCCACTGCCCCAGGCTCAGCGGCGCTCCCTGGGCAGCCTTCTTTTGGGCAGAAGCAGCACAGGCTTCCCTGCATGGCTGCCAGGGCCCGCCCCCAGCTGGGGACTTCCCGGCTCTGCTCCCAGACGCTCAGCCACACTCCCTGAATGGGCCCACCCGATGGTAGGCAGCCTTTCCTTCTCTCCAGATTTACACAGTCCATTCCTCTACCTGGGGAAGAAGACTTGCTATTTTTATAACAATTGTTACCTTCTCCAGCAAGATCAGAAAATACGTCAGTTTTGCATTCTGTAAGTGAAATATTTGATGCTGCCTAAAAAAAAAAAAAAACTTTCTTCTGTTATTATACAATTACATATTGTCAAAAGAGTCGTTACCTAATTATCGGTTATTTTACGTTGATTCTGATGCAACATGTGCTTGCATTAGACATTTTATTTTGTGGTTTTGCTATCTACTTAATTATCTGTACTACTGCCAAATACAAAATTCTATAAAGATTTGGTAGCATAAGTTAAGAACTAATTATAAGCAATTTCACTTATTACATCTTGTTCACTGATCATAGGCTGGAAAATTACCTTCAAATGCTACATTGTGAAGGTGGGTAAGAGATGCTTTTCTATTCCCTGTGTCATATAATTGAAGTCTCCTTCCCTAGAGATGGGTCAAATAAGCCCAGAAGTCTATTTCCACCCTCAGTGTAGCACTTGTTATGAATCTTGAGATTTGGTATGAAATCTCAGTCTCTTATCTCTGGACCTGAGTTCAAGTCCCACCTCTGTGACTTAGCTCTGTGAACAACCTTAGGGCAAGTCACTTAAGTTCTCTGAGCTGCCACTTCTTTAACTGATCACACAGGGACTCCATACTTCTTTGAAGGGTTACTAAGTCAGACAATTTACATAGAGGACGGACAATAAGTACTGGTTCCCTGTTCATCCTCCCAGTACACAGGAGCTTGGATTTTGCTCTCAGTCAGAGAGTGGCAGTCTACACCCGCAGTTATACACTTGAGGTCTCAGCCTTTTCACCTGAGTCTCCTGGTAGAAGATTTTCTGACCAGAGATTGAAAACTCAAAGGAGACTAAAAAGAGGTGAGCAAGTTGAGACGCCTACTCTTTGTTCATGGACTCTCCCAGGTGCTTTAGTATTTTTCTCACTTAACTGCTGCTACAACTCTGGGAAGCAAGAATTCTTCAACGTTTGTATGAGGAATCCAAGCTTTAGTGAGAATGACTGACCCTGTAAGTAGAACTGGAAAGCAGACCCAGGTCTGATGAACTGTGAAGGCTGTGCTCTTCTCTGTTTTCCGCTCCCCTGCACTTTCTGGTCCACTCCGTCTTATCTCCGTTCCCTGGCTCCTAATAAGCACCTGTGGTCCCTCACTTCCCTGAAGAGAGCCGGAGCCCCCCATGTCTCTGCTGGGGCTGAGAGAGGCAGAGAGGCTGCACCTCAAAGGGCATGCAGAGCTGCAAGGCCTTCAGTCACAACACAGTCCCCTGGGGTAAAAGCAAAGCCTCCGAAAGGCAGCATTAGCTGTTCCAACCAGCAATTGAAAAACATAAACCGCTGTTTTAGTCATTTGGGTGAGTCACAGCAGAGGATCTGAATGTCTTTACAGAGCAGAGCAGGAACTCTCTGGTATGTGTGTGAGGCCCTGCTGCTCGTGGGTGAGCCTCACGCAGGGCTTTCTAATACTGTACTGGCACGAGCACCAAGAGGTTTGTACTTGGGAGCATTAGGAAGTTCAAGACCATCAATGCCCTGCTCCAAGAGGCAGAGGCCAATCCATTCTCACCAGTAAAGCCTCTTCTGGGTTTTCCTGGGGTTAGTGCCCATTCAGCAAACTGATTCTCCTGAGCATTAACTTCTCCAAAAAAGTTGTGGTCACATCCCTTTCCCAGGGCACCTCCTGGCTGGCTGTAAAACTGCTGCACCTTTGAGACCTTCCTTCTCTCAGAGGGTTCCTTAGTTTCCCAAACTGGACCTTCTTCCTCCTCATGTACAGGTCTGTTGCATGGCCACCTAGGACATCTGTTCCTCCTCGGCCATAAAAATAAGGGCAGATGGAGTTTCCCCTTGAGCCCACACAGACCCAGGGTTAGTGACAGACATGTTCCACACAGAGACACCTCTTGTGGAAAAGAAGGCCCAGCTAACCTGTATAATATACCTAACACAGAACCAACTGTGACAATGTTTTATGTAAATAACACAGCACATGCATGCTCTCCAGCAGCCAGATAAACCAAAACAAGAATTAAAAGACAAAAGAAGATTGAAAGCAGCTTCTTTCTTAAGGCTCTCTATATTACTCTTCCTGCAACATAAAGCTTTTGAAAAGTTACTATTTAAAATCACTAAACATCCCCCTCTGGTACCCCCATTAACTAGAGACCAATAAAAAGTTGATCCAAGGGACTGACCCAACCTGGATATATTTTAGAGTAGCAGGACAAGTCAACTGGTACCATAAAGAAACATTAAAAGGTTGAAAGCTTATGCCCAGACTGCAGGGTGGTGGGGTTTTCTTTATTTCTACTTTTATCTCTCTAATTTTTTTATGTTAAAATATACTTGCTTCCATAAAAATGTTTATCTGAGTAGCAACTGGATATTTCAAGACAATACCAAGGACACTATTTTATCCACTGCACAGTGAAGTTGATAAAAGGGCCAAATACGCCCCCATGTGGCTACAGAGGAAAATGCCTCGGTTTAAGTAAGAAGGAGGGGCTTACAGAAGGCCTCGAATTTTCTACAGGCCTTTGCATCTTTTTCACACCCTGCAGTTTTATTACTTGTCAGAGCTTAGAAGTTGCTGTGCTCACATGGTAAGCTTTGATTTCTATCAAGAGAAGAGAGGTTTCATGTTTTTAAAAATATATACTAAAGTTTTAAGTAATCCACATGCACCCTTAAGATCAGCTGAAACTCTAACACAGAGACACTAACCCTACTAGGACAAGCAGCGATGCTCTGGCGTGTGAATACCTGGGCAACGATGTGGGGTGAAGGGACCAAACTGCTGGAAGCAAAGCAGATTCCAAAGAACAAAAGCAGCTTATTCCCCTCCTTGGAAAACAAGTTCAGCTTCTGTTCCCACTTTGGTTATCAAGAGATCAGAAGCCAATGCAAGGGACCAGAATAGAATTTAAGATAATACCACAAAGATCGTATTCCACACCAATCCATCAACATGAACTTGACCTCTAGACACTTCGGCAAGTATCACTCAACATTATGATACCTGGGTCAATAACCTATTTCTTCTAAAAAAATTCCTCTTCCCCATATCAGAGGTGTAGGCTACCACATATCACACGCGTTGTAAGTATATGCGTAAGTGAAAGAATTTTTAGATGTTTTTTCAAAAGCTTCAATGTTCTCTCATTAAATAGAAATAGCTATTCAGAGAAGGAAACGAAGACACACAAATGCAAAAATGGCACTCACAGCTCTGGCACTGGAAGCTTCTGTTGTCACATACTTTTTAAATTCTAAGAGCATTACCTTAACACCTACAAAACGTCCTCCATGACACCAGGCCTTAAACCTGGGGCACCAAACACATATAGACACAAGACACATCTCCTGGGCCTGCAGGTCCACAGAGGATTCTTTGGAGACCTCTAAGTATCAGACTTAAACAAAGGCTAATACTGCACCTGAAGCACAGTCTGAACAGGCGAGGAGCATAAATAATGCACTCCTGTGACAACATGGAAAAATACAAGACATCAGATGAGAAAAGAGCATAATATAAAACTGCAGCATGAACACAACCAAAGTTGAACCCACACACTCACACACCCCATCTACAGAAAGAGATTAGAGACTAGAAGGAAACACTGAGATACCAATAGTGGCTGTGCTTCAGAAGGTTGAGACTAGGGGTGATTTTGAAGCTGTTTTCTCCTTTCATCTTTCCAGATCTTTAATAATGAGCATACACTACTCTTTTATAGTGAAACAAACAAGCAAATACTTAATGATCACTTATCGAGTGAATGGTTGTCATCTAACTCACTTATCCTAAAATTTTATGAAGATATAAACTAGGTTTGGGTCCAGCATATGATTCCAATGTGTCCTAAGAGGTAAGCAGAGCAGGATGGTGTGGGTGAGTACAGGAGATGAGCACAGGAATCTAGGGCCCTGCAATGAATCTTGGCTCTGTGGGACCCTGGGTGTTGGTTTCCTTATCCTGTCAAAGAAGAAGCTGGACTAGCATAGTGGTTCCTAATCCTCAGTGAGTTACTAATTGCTCTCTCTAAGTCAGGGACCCTTCTCTCCAGAAGAAAACCCCAAATATGTCCAGAGCTTTCGGAAATAATCCAGGTGGCTATGGGTTCTCCAGAGGTTCACGGACCAGGTTAAGAACACTGGTTGGTTAATATGTTCTCTTCTGCAGCTCTGTCTCCACGGCCATAGGGAGGTATAATATGGTCCTATTTCCATTTCCTGTATCTTTGCTGAGGGACTGGTCTAGCTGCTGCTAAAGTATGCCAAGGTCACCAGTTTTCTGCCCCAACCAATGTCACCTTTTAAAAGTGTGGCTTAACTACGCAGTCTTCTTCGCAGATAGCAAGGAGCTCTGGCACCATACTCAGAAATTTCAGGCTAAATAGAACCCTAGGCTGCTGGTGTAAAATCAAGCCATGAAAAGTCAAGCACAGCAGAGGATGACTGAGACACCAAGAGAATAAAAGAGAGACTCCTTTTCCAGAGACATTCCTGCCAAGCCCTGACACTACAATTAGAAACATGTTTTAAGAACATGGTTACCTCGGCCTTAGAATTCTCCAATGGTAACAGGTAAACAAAGAAGGGATTACAAGGGAACCCCAAAAAACCGTCTTTGATCAGCAACAACTTATCTGCCAATAGATGAGACTTTCTTAAGCAACTTACTACATATAACTATCTTACTCCATTTTTATTTCTATCATCAATCACCTATCCATTCAAAGCCAAGAAAATATTTTCCCCAACCCCAGGATTCAAACAGGATTGACAGTTTTCAATTGTGAATACTCTTATATTAGCTCCACTTCAAATGTCGAAACAAATTAAAAAATATCACACACCAGTAAAACTGCTACAAAATAGTACTTTAAACAGGTTGGAGGTAGGGGTATGGCTTCATTCTGCTGTATCTCAGTCACATCTGGCAGTTTTGATTCCCTAATTCTGTTTCTGAAATAACCAACATCAAAACAGACAAGAGTCAGGAATATGCCGATGTTTCCGACGTTTCCAGGCGCTTCCTGATTGGCCCTTCTTCCTGGCATTACTGAGCTTTCTCTCCCTGACTCTCCCGCCACCTACCATTAGGCCAGTTCCCTTCTCAGGACTGACACAGGGGTCACCAACTATATGTACCCAAAGTCTTCAGTCTTGAAGGTGACTTTAGAAGAAGGTACAGGGCTATCTGGTATACCACCTCCACCAGGGGGTTGAGAAAGTAACCCCTTCTCAGGAAGCAACCAGGGGTGACAGAGTGTGATGCTCTGTAAGTTCTGACCAGGATCAGACTGCAAAAATAATCCTTTTGGCCTCAGAAAACCAGTCTAAAGCTAAGGTGATCAGCTTAAGTCAGGTTTAAATCCCTTGTGAGTTTACTGATGGCTTTTTGTTGATGCAAATAATCACAATTCTTCCTCTGAACTACCATACTACAGGGCCCTGTTAACTTAAAAAAAAAGGGAGGGGGATGTTTAAAATGGATTAATTTGTTTCAGATAATTCCAGCAGGCCAATGGTGGGATTCAGCTTGCCACCCCACAGGCCACACTCCAAAGCAAGCTGCTTTACTGTGCAAGGAGTTTGGAGTTAACTAGCAACAAGCCTGAAAATTTGGTTACGTATATAAGTACAAAGCTGGTTCATCAAATCCCTGTTCTGGCCCTCAACCCAATGCATTTCAACTAAGGCATCATCTACCTCCTTCTTAACGTTTATCAAACACTTGAATAGGTAACATCCAGCCACTCTTTGGAGATGGTTCCCTTTTTCAGATACTGGGTTGCTGAATTGCTCAGAAGCCTCTTGGTCCTGGGCTCCATTACTGGAGCCTTTACAACTTTCCCAAACCTCCATCTCTCCCTTTTCCTCACTCCTTTCATCCTCCATGGGTTCTGGGTTTTCCTCCTGGGAAAGCGAGTCCTGGTTTGGGCCATGGCCCTCCACAGTAGCAGACTCGCCTTCCTGTAGAGCAGGCCCACACAGAGCACTCTCCTGGGGACCCTGAGCCAAGTCTTGGTTCTTGCCAGACTCTTTAGCGGGGGACCTTTTCTCTTCCAAGGCTTGGATGACGTTCTTGGGAGCTCGGGGAACTTCTCTCAGTTGTCTCACTCGGTCCCTTTTCTTCCTCCTTAAGTGAATCCAGGAGTTTTCTATGGCTGTTAGGAAAAGGCTAATTTCCTCCTTTCCACAGGGAACTCGTTTATGCTGGACCTGTTCGGAGGAAAAACAGAATTTTATAGGAAATCACTTTTCCCCTCTGAAAACTCCTTAGAACTTTCTTTTTTAAAAAAGAAAAGAGGGCTTCCCTGGTGGCACAGTGGTTAAGAATCTGCCTGCCAATGCGGGGGACACGGGTTTGAGCCCTGGTCCAGGAAGGTCCCACATGCCGTGGAGCAACTAAGCCCGTGCGCCACAACTGCTGAGCCTGTGCTCTAGAGCCCAACGAGCCACAACTACTGAGCCTGCGTGCCACAACTACTGAAGTCCGCACACCTAGAGCCCATGCTCCGCAACAAGAGAAGCCACTGTAATGAGAAGTCCGCACACCGCAGCAAAGAGTAGGCCCTGCTTCCCGCAACTAGAAAGAGCCCCGCGCACAGCAATGAAGACCGAACGCAGCCAAAGATAAATAAACTTTTTAAAAAATTAAAAAACAGAAGAAAAAATAAAAGGAAAAAGAGAAATTATTATAAGTACTTCTTCAATGTGCTTATTAACCAGGTACCTTCAGATCGGTGAGAATTTTTTCAATCCATGTTGTCACAACTACTATGCCTTCCACTGTCTCAGAGCCCAAAGACGATGCTTTGAGGGATAATTCTTTCATCACAGATTCCAATACTACAAACGTAATGGGTTTCCTTGGCTTCTCTAATTTTCTTCGCTTACTTGGTGGTGACTGAAAGAAAAAGAAGGCATGGGAGAAGAGGGAAGGTTATCCAAATAACTAAATCTCATGCCTTATAATGAATTCAGCTTGGGAAATATCCATGACCTCTGCTACCAATCACAGAGCACTAAAAACACAAAGGCGTTTGCATCTTTATTTTTAATACTCAAAACAACCCTGCAAAATGGGTTTATCATCTCCCCATTTTACAGAAGGGAAAAACTAAGATACAGAGAGCCTATGTAATCAGCTCCAGGTCGCAGAGTTAGTATTTGTCAAGTTAGGATTTGAACCCCAAAGCCAGGTCTTTTCTGCCATACCATGCTGCCTGTGTTCTGGCTATCAGTACGTAACTCCTCCACTTACTAAAGGTCCTTAATCTACCTGTTGTGCCCAAAACAGGCCTGTGCAAGTATAATTTCATGGCACCTCAAGGACCCCAAGGGCATTGTGTTATTTTCTATAAAGAAATGCATGGCTTAAAATCACCACCTTGTAGCCTGAGTTTATACTTGCCAAGGCTTGAAAGAAAGCAGCTGGTGAGCCACAGTTTGTGAGATCACATGCTAGGAATGACCAGGGCCATCAGAATTACATCGGCGGAAAAGGACACTGAATCTTGGTTAACATTAGGGCCAAGCCAGTGGCTAGCTAAGCACTGCCTCTCAGCTGGGGAGAGGGGACACCAGTACCGAAGAGAACAGCGGATTTGAAAGCTGGTTCCACATAACTCAAGGTTGTCGTCTTTCTTTAAATTTCAAGCTTGGAAAGTGATTTACACTCTAACCACTAGAGGGACTCAAGTTCCATTTTAAAAACCAAGTGACACTGCTGTATTTAAAGTTTATTTCTTTAAAGTAAAAACTTGCTAAATTTTTTTAAATGACTCAGCTAAGACCAGATGTATTATGGATACTTTAAGAGACAGACTTGTAGACAACTTTTATCAAAACTTAAAAAAAATTAAGCTAATTCTAAGGTTAAATGGGTCAAAATGAGCAGGATTATAAGAAGGCTCAAAAAAAGAAAACACCTAGTCAGCTTTGAAGATCTTCTCCTAAAGAAAGGCCTCTGATAATTGTGCTGCTAACTCCAATTCTGCCTGGAAACAGTGACAGAGCACGTCCATATACACACATAGTCAGGTCCAGTTACTGGGTGAGGCCTTATAGGAACTAACCAGCTACTCCCTACCCCACACATACACAACAAAATATCCAGTTTATTCTATGCTAGAAAACTTTTAGATGGTATTTCTTAGAAACAATCTACATTTTCTCTTTATACCAGATATTAACCAATAAAGAATGGAAATTAAAGAACAATAGAAAACAAGCTTAGAAGAAAAGGACCAAAAACAAAGGGTGTGTGTATGAGTCAGAAACCTGCCCTTGAGAAATGAATGGTGGACTCTAAGCCCTGAGTCTGAACTTGCTCAGTGAATGTTTCAGACAAGATGAGACAAATTCATGTTGACATTAAGATAGTAGTATTGTTATTACTCAATCACCCAGCATAAGAAACATAATTTCTACAATTACGGACAGCCTAACACTTTGCACTAAGGAGCTTAAGATATGATTATTAAGCTGGGGGTGAAAAAAGATGGTGGTGTTGTAGGAGGAGGATGGGGGAGAAGAATCAGATTCCCTTTCCACTTCCTGACATCCAAAGGCTGTTAACATGGTAAGGTCACCGTCACAGGGCCATCCCTGACAGCACACCAAAGGTCATCTACAAATATGGCTAAAAGGATAACGCCCCATCTCTCTTCTGACAGAGGTGGTAATCATTTGTGCTCACAAATTCCAACCAGCAAAGTGAAGATATTGCTGTGTTTCTCATTTCCTGCACTATTCTTCTCCAAAAGTAAGAATGGACTCATCATCATTTCTAGAACTAAAGGAGAAAAATGCATCCTCACCAAACTTAACAAGAGCTCTATCAAGGATCCACTTTACAAGTTCCAAGGGAGTCAGAAACAACAAAGCAGTTTATTGCCCTCTTACACCAGTACTAAAATGAAACCTCCTCTATCTCATATATTGCTCCTTTACCTTGCATCCTGGCTCCAGTGTTCCATATACAATGGTCAATCAACAAATCTGGTATTTCTGAAGATTTTTAGTGAATTGTTTTAATACACACACATATTCTCAGGATTGTTTTAGTTTTACTCTACTATAGAAACTAGGTAGGCACTCAAAGAGACAGATAATTTATACTTTAGAAATTCTCAAAGTTTTTAAATGATTAGAGATTAACTTAAGCCTGGCTTACAGCAATCATTCCTCTCCCTTTCTCGTTCGTACTGTAAATTCTTAGTAGGCAGGGCCAGAGTAAAATACAGGAGCAGGTCTTAAAGAAATTAATAGTTAAATTCAACCCCACAGGTTCAACAGCAGGTAACTGTATATATACCCTGTTACAACACCAGTAAATAGAAGCTATCTGTTTTTCCCCAACTGAGATGATCTTAATTTGCCAATATGCTTTTAAATCTCAAACCACAAATATTTTCAATGAAGAGTTCTACACTCAAACTGTCATAATATAGTTTAGAAGACAAAGTAACATAAATAATTCAACATTTTAAAGCATAAATTTAAAAATCAATAATTTACAATGGTTAATTCAGTTTAGTGCAAAGAATCAGAAGGTGAATTTACAACTGGTTTTGGATTAGAAGATGAACTACTGTATTACCCAGCTGAAATTACAATGTGAAAGAAGTTTGGTGGGGAGCTGTAAATCCCGCAGGGGATACAGGTTTTGTATTGCTTGAACTGCAAGGATTCAATGAATAAAAATCAACGGGGAGGAGCGTCAAGTGTTACTATACTGAAACCATAAATTGGACAAAAACAGTTCTTAAATTTTTAAAATATGCTTTACTTAGCAGAGCTGTCTTTAAATTTCTTAAATCATCACTCTTATATTAATTTCTAGATCTCAGTGGTACAATTAGTCAGGAGACTTTCAAATTAGGTGTAACCTGACGCAATCCCGTGTAGCATCTGCTATGCTGCTGAAGCTCTGCTGTTAACTACAGCTAAGGCAGAAACTCCCAATGAAGCCACAGGCTGCATGAAAGCTTTAAGAGCTCCCTCATATCTGCAGGAAAAGGGAGTCATTCACTAAGATCTGCTGAGCAAGAAGCCACAGCCTCCTCGTTTAGACAAAGCAGCTTCTAGAATGGTCTGGAGGGGAAAGGAGTGCTCTTGGCTACTGCACTTGGGTCCTCCCTGCTCTACCATACTCTGAATGGCTACTGCCCCAGGTCCTCCAGGAACAAGCAGAATGTCTGTAAGCTGCTATTCAGCACAGGCTGTCATTTATGGAGAAACAAAGCCAAGCAGCCAACACTGACACCTGGCTGGAATACACACAGGAGGTGCGCTGGGAAGGACAGTCAGACCATCTTGCCTTATTCAAATGTGTATCAGCTCTGCTGCCATGAAGTGGACAAAATATTTTGTTGTCTAAAAGTGCGGCTTCCTTATTAACAGCCCAGGGGCATTTCTGTTGTTACCTAATCTGCCAGGTTACTGTTTCTAAAATGTCCCTGTAATCATTCCTAGATATATTCAAAAACAATAAAAAGTAAAAAATCAAGGGGAAGAAAAGTTTATGTAGAATGCTACCTATCTAAGAAGGGGTGGCTATAACTACATGTGTATTTCTTTATATTAAAACAACCAAACAAAAAACAATGGAAGGATAAATTATAAAATCGTTTAAATAGTAATCCAAGGAGAAGAGGGATTGATTGGGGTGAAAGAGACAACAGAAAGAAGCTAGACTTCTAACTATATCCTTTTCAATATTTGATTTTGAAACCATGGGTAAATATCTTTTACAATTACAAAACAAAATTAAATAGTACAAAAAGAGGCAATCCCTAAAAATATAAAGTAGAATGAAACAAATGAACGTAACTGTGTACGGACTGGTGGCATAAACCCACAAAAAGGAAACATTCCAAATGACTTTAAAATCCATCATGAGACAGTACCCAAGGACAAAAGAATGAAAAAAAAAAAAGCTATTTTCACAAATCATTTGGTGATGTTAACTTTGAGACTGCCGTGGTATATCATGGGCCAAAACAAATGAGTAATTAATTATGGTCAAGGACTGAGATTTTTGGCATGGAATTTTTGAACAGGAGATATAGACAATTGGTGAAGTTAAGTAGAAACTAAATAGAAAGTCGGAACTAGGATGTATTTTATCTTTAAAAACAAAATCGAAAAATAGTTGCTGCCAGCTCTGGGGAAGAAAAAAAAACGTATTTTTGGGGGGGGCAACCTGTCATACTAGACAGCAAGGGAGCTACTACCCAAGACTCTAGTATGATAAGACGACTCAGCATCCAACTTGAATAAACACTCCATGGTTAAAGATGGGACATAATCTGTGCATCAATAAAGATAATAAGTGTAACAGACTGAAAAATACTGAAAGTGTAAATCCATGAGTTCATAATAGTCTAAAAACAAAACGTAAACCACCCTCTTTGGTCACTTCTGGGAGATGCTAGGGAACCACTAACTCATTATTCTTAAAACTGAAAAGTAAAGCAAAATAATCAAGCATTTATCCTGCCTTTACCAGATGAACTGTACCTCAACGTAACCAAATAGTTGATATGGGGAAGTTTCTCTTTATAAGTACTTTAGCAATGAAGAAGGAATAATAGAATCGGAATATCAACATTCTGCAACGCTAAATGAATTAATGGATCCAGGCAATGATCATCAATGACTGCTCACATTGTAAGAAGACAAAAGCAAACATTATGTGCCTCCTGATGGAAGTTCTGAAGCATACCACACACCACCTAGAAAGCAGTCTCTCCCCCACCCCCCATCAAAACTGTACAATATCTGATCATGCCTCTGGCTCTAACTGCCAATTTATAGGAAAGACAGGGTCTGAGGAACATATTAACACCACGGAGATGCACTCAGAAAAATCCAGATATAAAAAACTCTATAGGACAAATA